AGGAAAATTATAAAATGCACATTTGTGTTCTGTTTTTTTAATTTCAGACGTCACTAGGAGACAGCCCGCTTGAATGCCAAGGATCGTAAGGTACGACATGAACGTGGATTACCCGGTCTTCACCAGAATGAAGGTAGACCTGTCTCGCACTTAACGCATAAATTGCCATGTACGAAATACGCGACGATCAGTGGCCAACATTTTGTCTTTCATATACCCTCATACAAAATAACCACAATAATAAAACATTACGTGTTTTCATTAGGTGACAAAGCTGGTCAAGCAAAACGTCCTCCTTGAACACGAGCAAACCAATGCCATTAAAAAACGCAACATAACGCCAGCTGTATGAGGTCTTACACCATCTCGCTAAAACCAAATCCCTTTTTTAACACCAACACCATAAATAACCGTCCTCTGGGATTTTGCGCCGTGTAGTCTGGTAGAAGTTTACCTGCCACTGCCATTAGGGCGATCACGTCGGTCAGTATCTCTGCACAGCGCAACATCCCAGAATATAGCTATCTTTATACTCGCCACCGCGAGAACTGAAATCTGACCTACGAGGTGCGATCGGAAAGTTTCAAGACTGTGTCAATAGAGGGCGAACCGGATGTAGTACGAGCTTCTGCCGCTAGGGGGTGCGGTCTACATTCATAGTTAATTAGTGTGCCAGCCAGCATCATCAAATTAGCATTTGTTTCTTAGTTACGGGCGTTTTGGTAGTGCATTACACCGACCCTCCTGCGATTTCGGAATGGCGTGTGCATCAAATTTTGCCAAAGACTTGCCAAAACGGCTACGGAAACCTATGAAATGCTCAAGCAAGCATTTGGGGAGTCCGCAATGGGTCGTGCACCAACTTTTGTGTGGCATTCACGTTTTAAAAATGGCTGAACCTCTGTCGATGATGACGAGCGTTCTGGACGACCATCTTCGAGCACAACGCCCGAAAATGTTACGAAGATTCGGCAGGCCATTCACGAAGATCGACGTCGTACCATCAACGACTTGTGCGACATTGTTGGGCTAGGCTATGGGACCTGTCAGCTGATTCTAACGGAAGAACTCCACATGCGACGCATCTCGGCCAAGTTTGTGCCAAGGCTCCTGTCTGAGGACCAGAAGCAGAATCGACTTCTCGTTTGTTAGGAGCTCAAAGATCTTGCAAGAACCGACCCCAACTTCCTTTCTAAGGTTTCCTCTTCTCAAAGATGAAAATTCAGCTAAAGGGAAGGCGATTTGAGACGATAGAAGAGATTCAGGCAGAATCGCAGATGGTGCTTGACAGGCTGACAAAGAAAGATTTCCAGGGATGCTTCCAGGCTTGGCAGCGGCGCTGGGATCGTTGTGTTCACTCCCAGGGGAACTACTTCGAGGGTGATGGATGAATTTAATACCTGAGATAAGTGTACGGGTTTTTATAGGCGCAGTCTGGAATCTTTCCGATCGCACCTCGTATCAGCATCTTGACCCAAGAAGTCTGAAGTTGATAAACGTTGAATAGCATATTTTTATTATACAGTGACTCAATTTTACAAAAAATAGGTGCGTGGTGCAGAAAATACGTCGGCAGGCCGCAGGGTCGGCATACCTGGCACAGAACATGAAATTTTAGGTTTTCACTGAAACGTTCGTTTCATTTCCGCGCTTCTAATATACCTCGTCACAAAATACTAAATTTATTTTGTTTTGCAGTATCATCTAGGTGCTATCTTGTACGAATATGCTGATAAGCCAGAACAATGTATTTGTCACACTTTGATATAGTTCATTTCTATCTGTTGTGATGAACACACAGCAAGCGTTCGTTGGCCTCCAAATATGTCAGTCAGAAGATTCCTTCATTCAAAATGCATATGTCGATCTGTTCATCGTCGAACAACACAATAATTTATCAACATCTGCCTACAGTCTACACAGAAGGGTGAACAGCATTGTTCCCTGTCTCTCTGCTGAGATCAGATCTGTTGAGATTGTTTCTCGTTCTATCTTGATAACTAGATATCTGACGTCAGTCTTGAAATTCATGCGGTTTCTGTTAAAAGACTTTGTATAAAGCTGGGTTCACCCTTTAGTCTCATACTATTTGCTGATTGCACTTTTGCAATGGAGTGGCTGTTACCTAGCTGCTTGCAAAGACATTTTCACATTAGGAGCAGCAAGCAAGTGGTGATCACCAGTGTCATCTGTTGAGTATTAACCAACGTTTTGGCAAACATTCACCTTAAAGATGACAACTGCAGTGCTTGCCGAAACGTTGGTTGACACTCAAAATTCGACAGGCCTGACAGTCGAAGTCGTGTATAGTAGTTCTGTTTATACATGTATACATATGGCAGAAGCAGATGATACTGGAGTGAACTGACATGGGACAAACTGAGATTTGCTCACGTCAAATTTACACCAGCCACTGGTTACTATGTTAGTATAAACATGATAATTGATCATATCTGCTCCATCAGTAAGTAGTTCGGAAATAAACAATATTCTTGACGTCAAATGCATGGGATGCATGTGGTATCTATTATCGACATTGAAGGTTTTCTGTCACCAAGCTTAATTACCATAAAAAGAACACATGAATTGTCATCGATCGTTCATATTTTAGCAGCAATAGTTCCAACCCTAAGGCTGGAATTACATATTTCAGGAATCTTTCTGGTAATTTTGTTGTATATTGTTAAATAAACTACAAGACAAAATTGTGAACAAAACAAGATTAGTGACAATAAAAGTCTTACATATGGTATTAATTAATACAACTCACGTCGTCAATTAATGGTTTGTTTCTCAATGACGTCAGCACCGCTCCATCTGCTGTCACCAGAGCTCACTATCTTGCTTTTCCTCCAACCACTATTATAATTTTTCCTCTCCTCTCTTGCAAGAAAAATTCTACAAAATCTAATAATCAAATTCTAAGAGATACAAACTTTTTTTAAAATATCATGTTATTTTAATACTATCCTAATAGCACTCTGTATATCAGAACTATGCCTAATTATAGGAGAAAGGGTTGTCGATGGCTGCATTTGCAACTACAATCCTGTTCCTGATTCTGACGTTAATCATGGTGAGTGTGACGCTCCAGTCTTCATACGCGTGGCTTGTGATGGGTTCCACCTTGTTCCTGTTTGTCACACTGTGCAGCTATAGTTCCTGTGAGAAGACGTACTGGCGGCGCACTACCATGCACTCTGATTCTGTCAGCACCATCTCAGACGGACACGACAACATTGAAGGGGTATGCATAGTCTTCAGACATCCACCTGTTACGGTTCTGCAATTAATATCTGATTTTATTATTGCATTTATAAAAAATCTATAACAATTACGGCATCAAAAAATTATTTTATGTAATAGTTTTATATTTTGTGTATGTGTGCATATTATGTTACAGCACAATTTCGTTAGGATAAGAATTCTCTTTAAAAGAACAAAATAGTTGGATTTTAGGTTATGGAGGATATATTGGATAGATGCATGTGTCAATCACCACAACTCCAGAATAGTGTTCACTGAAATTTGAAAATGAGGGTCTACACTTAAGAGTTACTGATAGCATTTAATTTTGATATGGACATGACAAATAGATGAATGGATATGAACATTCCTATAAGCATTTACAGTACTTCATGCATGTTGCACTGCAAAGAATGCATAACAAACCAATAGGAAGAGCACAGGCTGACTCCCCAAATTGCATATTGTAAGGTTAGAAATATATGAGGCCCCACTTAATGGTACCTGCACCTTGTCGTGGTGGTGGGGCTTGAGTACCTCAGTGACCCCAAGAGCTATGCTGGCGGTAGCATAGCTACTGGTAGGGCCTCCCTAGCCAGATTGGTCGAGGGGGAGAGGTCAGACCAAGACAGGTACCCTGGTCCTCCAGGTTGGGGGTTGGTCGCAAGGCTAACAACCTTGCACTGTAAAAAGGAAGATGTTTCAAAACCTCGATCAAAGCCTCGGACAGATGGACCTAACAGAGGACCGAATGGAAGAGGAGAATTGAGGAGGCCATGGACCGAATACGGACCAAAGAGTCATAGAAGAAGAAATATATGAGGACATATGTTGACTGTTATGGGCAAAGAGGTTCATTAATCATCAGAACAAAATTTTTGCTTAAACTACTTTCCTTGCCATGACACTAAAGTGTGACATTTGGGACAACTGTCACAATTTGCTACACCCCATGGAGGTCCCTCAAGCAGGGAAATAGATTGTTCAAATTGTAAAATTACAGTTCCCCCCCCTCCCGAGTCTCAACCAATAAAGCACATACAAGGGATGGAGGTAAAGTTCCACACATTCTGAACCTCAGTACTAGAAGAATGTGAGTGATCGTTTTACCAACTGCTTTATCACAGAGCAATGAGTCATCAACATCCATTATGTAGGAAGTTGGGTGGGCTCCAGTGCCAGTCTAGCTCACAAGAAAGTAGTCTTGTTAGTATGTAACTCAGAATCCTCCAAGAATCAAAACCTGGTTTTTCAGCGAGCGGCTAGTCACTTTACTGAGTGATTACCTCACACCTATACAAGTCTTGTTAATATGACATCCAGGGTCCATTTATTCAAACTAGTTTTCTCTACTTCTAGGAGGAATATAACAGAAGTATTCTGCCATATTGGATTACTGATCTTCCACCAAGTTACGCTGCAGCAACATCACAACAAGCAGAGGCAGTAACTGGAACAATCAGTCCATATTCATCTCCACCACCGTATTCTACAGTGGTAGAACATTCATCTGGACAGAACAGTGTGACAGAGGAACAGCGTCAGCATACGAGTGGAAACATACTCAGTTCTGACACACTCACACTACCCCCACAATGTCCTTCCAGGACGTCCAGGATCTTGTTACAAGACTGCGGTCCGCCCGAACATATCCACTCCCTAAAAATACCAAGTAGTGTAGTCAGACTGTCACAGTCTGCTTATAAACACTGTAACACACTTTCTCTCGAAAGACGCCCAGCTGAACACTGAACAAATAAAACAATATCTGACAGCAGTAATACATGCTAATGTATGATTAAAGAGGAGTGTTACAGGAAGAAATAATGTGTTGTGGAATGAGAGTTTAATTTTACATTATTATTTGACTGAAGTTATTTCAGGATTCAAGAGCATAAATACTGTGGAAGAACATTAATAACTAATAAAATATTACAGAAGTTATTAGACTGTGTGTTTATATGCAGTATACTGCGTTAGATCATGCAGTTTTGTGATCAGGACTCACGCTTCTTATTCAGGAGATCAAAGATGCAAATTTCAGTTCAGATATCGCGTATCAGCAGCCAATTCTCGGACCGCACTACAAAGTGACTGTGCGCATGTATCTATAATCCGTTCAAATTCAAATTTCTTCATAACCATGATTTAATATATGCAGTTCAACAACATGGAGTGTAGTGACCAGGTTAGTTCCCATGACAGCACAGCTTTTTCTCCAAGCCGCAGTTTAACAGGTAAAGGAGTTGAAATACCACATTTCCTAACTTCTGTATGAAAAGAATAAAAACAAGTGCATAAATATTGACTTGGAAATATGTCCATTATAATCTGCAATATTTATATGCTGACAAAACTAAGAAGAAATAATTCTTCATTATTACCTGCAAGTATTCATTGCCAAATCATAAAACTCTTTGCTAGTCAGTACTTAGGACCAGAATTACTGAATGAAATTTATAATTAATTGATTTGTAATATTTCCATATATGCTCTTTATCAATGTAACTGAGTGAACATTTGTACTAAATATTGAATGTTTCTGCATAAATAAATACAATTTAAACTGTGTGCATTACTCCATAAAAGTTAAAAGTGCTCTTAGTAGAGGGGTCTTTATAATGAAAAAAACTAAACCAAAATCAAAATTCTTTCAATACATTTACCAAGTTTCATCATAACCAGTATTATTCACCAAGCAGACAGACAGATGAATGCGATGAAAGTAACAGGCACATTTCATAATTGTTTAATTCACTGTTCACAATTCAAAATTTATGTTACCACTTCGTTTTACACAAACTATCGTCAGTAAAAAAGAATATTAATGAAATTCATTATATGAAAGAAGCCTTGTAAGACAATTCAAAATTAAACCAGTACGGTACTTCTTTTCATTTATTTCATCACTTCTCGCATACCCTGAAAAACATACTCTTCGCCAGTGGTACAAAATATTTGTATCAACCAAGTTCTACCAATATACATGAGTTCTACAAGTTAGCTGCAATCTCTCATGGCTAAAATTTGGATGGCAGAAGAAATAAAATAAACAATGTTGGCTAATAGCAGGGAGAAGCAAATGCTACAAATAAACACATGCTCATACTACAGAATCTGAAAAATATAATTTGACATTTTGGCTGACTGGAGAGACAAATAATTTATGGAAACATCTTGTAACAGGAATATCTCCCACATTTTTCATGTAAGTATCACTTCCTGCTGCTTTTATCTTTATCTTCATCTTTGCGATCTTTCTTTTCCTTAGATAAACTACCGACAGCTTGACGGACTGCCTCGCTCTGAGGATCTACACCGGGCAGGTTCTCCAGCACACTCTGCAGGAATTCAGGATCGTTCATCACTTCAGAATAATCTTCATCTCCCTCTACTTCCATTGGAATTTCTTTTGCTTTCTGAACTTCCTTCTTCACTGCTGTGTCATCTTTTCCTCCAGCCTGATCTTCTGTGTGAAGAGGATGGGTTAATATTAGGTCTAATTTCTGAAGTTTAAATTGTAAGCACATTCTATTATACAATTAAATAAACTGCTCTATAAAGAAGTTCTTCAGAAACTAGTAGTCACTGAGGTAGTTAAGAAATTCTCTTCCTTTTATGGAATCAAAAATTAATTACCATGTTCACAACAGCCTGCCAGTGCATCCTATTCTAGGCCACATGAACCCAAACTACATCCTCTCATACTTTCATATTATCTACCCAGATACACCTACATCTCCCAAATGGTCTCCAGCATTCAGGTATCAGGCTAAAATTTTATAAGAATTTCTCCTTTCATTTGTGCTACATGTACTGCAAATCTCATACTCCTGGATTTGATAACATTAATATTTACTCGAGTATAAATTAAGAAGCTCATCATGCAATTTGCATAATCTCCTGTTACCTCTTTCCTCTTAGGTCCGCATATTCTCCTTTGCAACCTGTTCTGATATACTATCAAGTTTCTAGTTCTGTGCATTCTTCAATTATAAAACATCAATACATTCTCTTACATTCTGATTAAGCTGTAATGTTCTCCAACTACATTTGAACAGTTATAAATATGTGAAATAATTTAGCTATTCTGTGAATTAATTTACGGCAATGACATCAAGCAAACTTACGAGCATCTTGCATAGACATCTGCATGGCAAAAGCAATCTGTTCTTCCTCAGTCATGTGAGCAAAATCAGGAACAGCTGGTGTGCTCTGCTCCTCTTCTCCACCTTCAAGTGACATGGCCAGAGCACGTTCCAGCATGGCTTCTTCATTTGGAGCTACAAACAAATTGACAAGTCTCCTGTTGCAATGACAAAGTGCTATTCCATCACTAGACTTACTGCAGTGCGTGGAGGAAAAAATAAAACTCTATAAGATTCACTGCTGTTGGAACTCAATTTCACTATTTTCCGCACCGCACAAACAGCGCATTTGTTCCAATCAAGTGTGACATGCCGGGTATTGTATTAGGAGCAGATCAGTCTTTTGTAACCTTGCTCTATATTATTTAACAATGATGAATACAGAATAAATTATACTGCTGGTAACATAACATATTTTTAATACTTAATATACAGGTATTGTACCTTCCTTAACGGGAGTTGGGGCTGGGGTGCTTCCATCTGCAGCTGATGCCACTTGAGCACGTCTAGCTTCTTCCTCCTGCCGCTGTCTCTGCTCTTCCATCGACACTCGGAGAGCCTAAAACAAGAAAAAAGTTAAATTCAAGAAACAACACATCACTTGCTATAAGTCAACTTACTACCACTGGATTTACATGCACATCACATATTCTGGTTGTGTGCGTCAATTTACGTAACACCAAATGAATAAATAAAAACTGGATATGGTAATTGGTTATAAGAATTAAATAGAAAACTAGTCACTGTCAGATTCAATCTGCAGGCTGCCAACATGATTTAAATGCCGTCTGAGAAACGGGTATCTCAGGTGACGGAAACGTCTGAGTGGAGTCCTACCAAAAACATCAACTGAAAATGATGCATATGGACGGGCAACTGGGTGGTGTCTGCAGGTAGAAAAAAAAAAACTTTTGAACAGAATAATATATCCTTCAACCAACTTCCCACATTAATCATTATTCTAAGCATTGGTTATATGACATACAGCAGTTAAAATGTTTGATTAGATACTTGCTTTCATTCAGTATCTAATATCTTGGATTTTCATTTAAATGAGGTATTCACTCAGAATGGCCGCACATCGCAGTATGGCACAATGTTAATATTAAATCTCTCTTTAATAAAACTATAATATTCAAACTTATCACATATTTGAAGCCAGTCTCATTAATGTGAAGCAATCATATGCTCGTGGAGTGAGATTCTCCTAAGAAAAAGAACATTTGCATAATGGCCAGGGTACATCTGTGCAGATTAACTGATTAACATTACTCAAAAACACTGTTTTACCTTACGGTCTGAATGAGATCAAAATATGAAACTGATAAGGAGAGATTTGAAAATAGGTAGTTGTAGTCTATTTCCTTGCATTTGCCTGGAAAGACAGAGCAAAACCACAAAGAAACTAAGGACAGTAGGATAGCCAGTAACTCAGCCATAATTCAAATTTTCCAAATATAAGTCTAAAGGATGCATGTTCACTTAAACACACAAAAGAACTTACCAGTGCAAGTTCCGGATCTTCATTTGGATCAACCCCAAACTCAAATCCAGACCCACCGAGTCCAGCTCCTCCCATTCCATCCTCGCCCTGTTTTTTTTTAAAAAAAATTGGTGTTAAAATAATTTTATTTTATTTTATGACAATAACACTATTAAATAATTTCATATACTACAGACTCATCTGTAACAAGCACTCTCTTAATTATCTCTCTGACTTAACTGCTGACTTCTGGGAATCCCCAAGTTCCAAACATAATGAAATACTTCTTAAAAAATATATTTAGAACTATTTCAGATAGCCACCAATACACATTGTTTGGCAGGTTTTGAGGTGGTTGGTGTTGTCATTTTCTTAATATTATACACTTTTGTTTCCTAAAAAAGAGCCAAATTAAAATATTGGTGTTGTATGGTGTGTCTATAACTGATACGTCATTAGGCTCAGTGTATTTGTCATGCTATGTCACATTTCTATTACTTTTTATTTATTTACTGTTTCTCCAAGCAAAGCATTTAACTTCAGATTAAGGAGCTGTTTGAATAAATGTCATACCACTTAATCCGTTTTGCATTGGTTAAGTAGGATGCCATCAAAATCAAAGAAAATCATAGATTAATATACTGGCACAGTTCAAAACACAGAAATTCCACAGATGCTTCCATCAATGGCAGAATTACTGGTCTCGCTGTATTATGTCACAAACAAAATTGAAGGGAACAGTGCTCCTACTTCTTTATCACCCTGAACATAATAAAATATATCGTAATTACAAATATGATATAACAAAAGAACATTCAAATTAACAATGTGGCAAATTGTCACGTGTAAAAAGGGGGGGGGGGATCTGAATGAAAATTTTCTGATCACATCTTCTAATTGGAAAAGAATCTGCTTAAACCTTACCTGAATAACAGGAGATGAGATAAGTGCATCAGACAGGTGAGGCCCTGGAGGTACTGATACTAGGTGACTACCAGCTCCATCCTTGCCGTTCAAAGTATTGATAAATGCTGTGAGTAGTTCATTGTTTGATACCTAGATACATTCATGCAGGCATTAGATAAAATTCTGTATCATTGAACAGAACAGAATAGAAAAGAATATGTCCATCATTGTTTCCAAATTTTCAAGTTGAAACTTGGTAGAAGAATGCACAGATGTTGCATATCAATACCAGATAAATCAGTTACAATTTTGCATTATTGTTTGGAAGAACAGGGATGCAACATCACAAACTAAATTTGCCATGATGGTTTTGAAAAGAATGGTTTGAAGAATTGAAGTTTGACAAAATAAAGTAAGTGTAGCTGTTTAAAGTGGTGTAGCATGAATCTTCTCTGTAAGTTTGTGTTACTTATCAACTATTTAAAAGAATATGACTGTTTTTTGTCGAGTAATCTGTGGTTTGAGGGGGAAGAAGAAAAACTGAAGATGTCTGATACTTACGGTAACACAAAAACACACATCATTTCTAAAAGGTATTTTATATTCATTTTGAACTTTTAGTATAATTCTCAGAAACTTTGATAGAATGTACCAAAAACAAACTTTACTATTTTTAAGCTTCAAGTATAAAGGCTTGTATACTGTGATATGATATTATACCTATGTGTAAACATGAACTTCAAAACAAAAAATATACTTCAACAGCTGTTCACATAATCTTATTTATAATTTTAAGTAACTACAAATACAGTTAAAATACCCTTAAAAGAGGGATCAATGAAAGTTAAAAAATGCAATAAAAACTTTTACTACAACAGCAAAGTCTGTGTTGTACAGCAACTGATTTCAGTGGCATCCAACTTGCATAGTTCTCACCTGAGGACTCACCTCCTCACCAAAGCTCACAATGTCAACATTCACCTTCTCCTTCTTGAGTCTCTTTGCCAGTTTTACAAGCTCCTTCTCCTCAGTCTCAACTGGACTTCCAACAAAAGCAACGATACGCATTTTGTGGTTCTTACCCTGGCGATGCTTTAATGCCAACTACAACATTTTCAATAGCATTTATATTATAGAAGAATAAAGCAATTTAATTACTAATGTAAATCTAACAGCTCTCTTTTTCAAGAGCTAAGTTGTTCCAAAAGAGTAACTGTCAATATTTCATCAGCTGAATAACTCTTAGTGTTCTGATAAAGAAGACAAAAAAGTTGGAAATGCCAACTGTTGATTTGACAATCGGTATTACTGATTTGAAAGTCCATACCCTATGTATATGGGACTATATTCTGAGAAAGAAGTTGTTCTTTAGTGCTGCTTCAGGAATTTGATGTACAGCTTCAGGGTTAAAACACCACTGCATAAAAATTAATTATTTAATCCATCTTGTCCTACACCAAATTTAGGCCATGAAAAGAATAAATAAACACGAAGGTGATATAACAAATAAATATGAAATGCTTTACAATTGATTTATACCTATAAATATGGGCAATCATAGGAAACAAAGAGGATCTCATTGTGCTGGGAAACACACTATGACATGCAATGGCATCCTTGAAATGCAATTTCATTTCACTATTTTTAACCAACTAACATGGCTGAAAATCCAAGATTTTATTAATGCTAGTCACCATGAAAGCTTTAGACCATATGTCAATTACCATGTTAACATGAACACACAATTACTTCAACTTACATGAGCAATACGAATGCCAGTCAGAAGATTGATATTACCCTGTGGCTGAACCTGGTGGAGCTTTGACAGAATTCTGCCTACATCAGATGTCAAGGTTGCCAGCACTTCAACACTATGGGGGGGAAAAAGAAGAGAATTTCAACAGTGCCACACAATTAGCCTTTTATCACAACACTTGACTCAATCACATAGTAATAGCACTTTAACTTCTGAGGGAAACAACATCAAAAGCTACAGGGAGAATATTTGGTGCCATACTACGGCACAACCTTTCTGCTATGCACAATCACTGTGTCAGTTACTGGGAATAAATGCAAATTAGCAGTGGTGATGAAAGAGGTTCAATTATACCTAATATTCTGAAAATCAATGCAACATAACACAAGAAGATCCTTGCAGATTAAACTTTCAGTACAATAACTCAACAGGCCACAGGAAGCACCACACTAGATTCTGAAACACTAAAAGACCCCAGTGTAACAGGGTTATGTTAATAAGTTCTATTACAAATTATTTTACAAACGTTCACACTGTGCTATAAGAATAATTGATTTTAATAATTCTGTTCGCTCTTTTCATGGAAGCAATTCAGGAGTCCCTGTTAAAAATAGGAAATAATGCAATCATAAAATAAACATATAAAAACGGTCTCTTTTAAGCAAACTACAAACAAAAGGCATTGTGGGCCTTCAGAAGAAGAATTATGTGAATCCCTGCCCTTGACAACGTCCAAAGCTTTAATAACATAACCTGTAAGAAGATAAACTATTTAATCAACTATGATACACCAACATTCATTAATTTATTTTATTTTATTCTGTAGATCAAGATACATTGATATAGGACTTGTCAATCTATATTATACATCAAGAAAGTACAGTAGTGTTTATAATATAAATTTATTGAACATGCATTCTATACATCTGCTTGAATCAGTAGCCAATTTTCGAGAAATCTTCATTCAGATAATCTTCCCTTAACAACTAACTCCTTCAGCTTCTTTTTAAACTTGTTGTTTTCAATATGTTAACATTGTTAGGCAATTTGTTATAGAAGATACATCCTGCTACTAATGGTTTACTGGTATACAGTTCTAACTTACATACAAACTTATGATAGTCTTTGTTATTTTTTGTGTTGAATGAATGCACTTGTTTATTAACTGTGCAGTTACACTTTTCTTTTACATATAAGATTGTTTCTTGAATGTACAACGAGTACACTGTTAGTATCATTAGATTCCTAAAACTATCTCTGCATGATTCCAAATGTTTTAACCCTGCAACACTCCTTACTGTCATTTTTTGAAGAATAAATATTCTGCTAGTGAGTACCTTTGCACACTTTCCCCATACTACGATTCCACATGACAGAAACAAATTATTCAGTCATACTTACATCAGACTCTTCATAAAACACTTACTTGGCTAAAGTCAAAAGACCAACATTATTCTCTGGATTTGATCTTGTCTTGGAATGACATACAAGATTGACAGCGTCTTGTTGTGCTTGTAATCTCGTCGGAAGAAAATCCCCATTTCGCATATAATCGCTGTTGTCGACACTAAATAAAGAAAACACTAAGGAATTAACAACGTTCGCCTACAAATACTATTATTAATCATGTACAGTAAAAATACAATATATCAACTTTGCAATGTCATCTTGGAAGCAATAGTAATTGAAACCATAACCTATAAGTGTATCACATGAAAATGATTTAGTAGCAAGCAAAATTGTTGGTACACTGAGGCATGAAGAGTGTTAATATTGAGGTAAACATATATACTTTGTAGTTACCATATCATAGTACTCTCCAACACCATCTTGACGAAAAAAATAAATCTTGCCGCACACGGACTAGCAACCTTTAACGCAAACAACTATGATCTAGAAAACACTAAGGACAGATGCTAGAATCACAGATTATATTAGGAGAGGTACACCAGCACAGAAAACCATTTTCGAACAAATGAAAACCGATATTCGAAAGCACAGATTAATTCCATGGTAATTGGTTTGAGAGGTATCGGCATGTGTGGTCTGTACTACCATCTGTCCGCCATATATAATTAATACTACGGTAGCGATAACGATACCTCAGCGGGTAATAATTTTACTTCCACAATTTCACCCCCCTTCTCCTCAAGATTTCACTCATTTCACACAAATTAATAATTCTGGGACATTGTATGCATGTATGGATTTGTTGTCAGTTGCTCTGTTACGCCCATCCATGTGAATGAAATGTATTGGGAAACAGTCACTGGGAAGACCAAAGAAGAGATTGGAGGACATCATAATAATGATATGTCATGACTTTTTCAGCTTTCAGAATATTTTTTACGGAAAATGTTCAGTTAACTGAGTTAATATTTTACTGATTTAGAGTACATTGAATTCATAGTAAACACAAATCTTTCTTGGTTTGGACACCACTTATATGTAAACAATAAATAAAGTTGAGAATGAAACAATGAAGAGCTACAAGGATGTTATATTAATAACGACTAACTAGACGATACTTGCTTAACTGTTTTATTAAGAAATAATTTCAAAAGGCAGCGAGTATGAAGATACTGTCTTTTGGTAACTGCACCGTATAGTCTAGCAAAAATAGACGTTTCAGAAGTGCTTACTGCCCCTATTATCAGACAATCGCCATGATGGGAGGCAGAATATGT